GTTTTCAGGCAGGACTGTGGGTCACTCCCTTGAAATGTGCCATTTACCTTCAGGCACCCAGGAATGTTAAGTCATACCCCAGACACGCTCAGCTTCCCAAACAGCAATATGTGTGACTTAGAGTTTTAGCTCCCCCCACCCCAGTGGGAAACAGACCCAGGGAGGAGTGAACACTTAAATAGCATTCACTAGGGGAAAGAGTCTGGCATAAGCTAGGAAAGTTAGCAATATACAAACCCTACAACCCACCCCTGCTTCCCTCCTAAATGTGAGCTTGCCTTTGTGGACTAGACGTGTACAGGAGCAAACAATGCAGAGTGTCCCCAGCAGCAAAAGGCAAAAACAGCCCCAAAACTTGGAGAATAGGAATAAACAAAGCATATAGCCATATAATGGAATACTATACAGCCATGAAAAGACAACTACAGACAGGCAAATATGACCCTTCATAACAGACCTTAGAGACAGCATGGAACACAGCACTGAAAAGTGTGCACTCTGGGCCCAGCCTGCCTGGTGTGTGACCATGGCTCTACCACTTGTGAGCCGGGAGCCACTGGCATAATCAGGTACCTACTCTGTGCCTTGGTTCCCTTTGTCAGGTGGACATGGGCCAGCAAGTATCCTGCAGGCTGTTATGAGTCAATATCTACAAAGAAGTTACAATAGTGCCTGGCATACATGCATTTAGTGCTATACGAGAGTGTGTGGGGGATAAAAATAGAACATTGAGTGGGAAAAAAACAAATCTGAAGATAACAGGCTTTTAAGAAGTTCAAAAGCCATGAAAACTAAACAAGATGTTGCTTAGGCATTCAAATGTGCTATAAAATTCCTTTTTTCTCTGCACTGCTGGTGGGAAGGCAAACTGGTACAACCTCTATGGAAAACTGTTTGGAGGTTTCTCAAACTGAAAAATGGAGCTTCCCTATGACCCAGCAATCCCACTCCTAGGTATCTACCCAAAAGACATAAAAACATTGATTCAAAAAGACACCTGCACCCCCATTTTGAGTGGTCTATTTTTAAAAATAATATAATAGTTTATTTTTTACATCATTTTGTGCTTTTTTCCATCTCAGTTGTAATCCCCGTGGGTTTCATATCACCAAATCACCCATGTGCCATCACCATAGTCCAGTGCATTTCCACTGTTATTTGATCCCATTCCCCACTCCACCCCATAATGCACCCCCATGTTTATTGCCACTTTATTTACAATAGGAAAGCCCAAGTGCCCAAAAGTAGATAACTGGATTAAAAAGATGTGGTACATATACACAATGGAATATTACTCAGCAACAACAACAACAACAAAAAAAAAAAAACACTCCTGCCTTTTGCACTAACGTGGATGGAGCAGGAAAAGATCATGCTTAGTGAAATAAGCCAGAAAGAAAAGGAAAAAATACCAGATGGTTTCACTCATAGCAGGAACATAAAGGACCAGGGGAGAAAAGAATAATAATAATAATGAACAATTATACACCAGGAACATTTTATGGGGGTGGAGTGGGGAATGGGATCAAAAATGGGGAGGAGGCATGGGACTATGGTGATGGCACACAGGTGAACTGGTGATAGGAATTACATAATCCATAGGGATTACAACTGAGATGGAAAAAGGCATGAATTGACATAAAAATAAACTATTATATTAAAATAAAATAAATCTTTAAAAAAAGGAAAAATTGCACCTTTAAAAAAATCCTTTTTTCAAAAAGGGGATGATAAACAGCAATCTGGGAGCTGTAGGGAGGTAGGGGTAAGATATGCGAAAGTGAGCAGAGTGCATGTGCTCCTCACTAGGGTCTCAGAAGAGGGGTGGGGTGGGATCCCAGGCACTGCCACCAATTAACAGTTCTAGTACAGCAACCTTCCAAGAGTAGGGTCAGGCCTCAGATGCTTTGGGGAGGAAGCAGGCCACCCAGCCCCACGACTACGCCCACCACAGGGCGCCCTGCAGAAGTACTCAGGGGCCTGGCTCTAGCCACCCGCCAATCAGAGGGAGGCAGGTCAGAGCCACTCTGAGGGTGATGGCTCCTGGCGGGTAAGAAAGAAGGAGGCGGATAAGAGCTGGTCCAAAAGATGGGTATAACCAGTCAAAGGGAAGGGGGTTCAGCCTGAAGGAGGAGGGTCCAAGCCTGTCCTGGGGAGGAGGTCTGGCCCACTGAGGGGCCCCTGGAGGACTTGTTTCCCGTGTGGTTTTTTTGTACTTCCTGTTCCCCTGTTCACTGCGGAAGTTCCTTCTTACCCTGCACCCAGAGCCTAGCCGGAGGGGACAAGGGCAGAGGCACCATGAGTGGGGGCCCTGTGGGTGGCAGGGCTGGGGGCCGAGGAGGACCAGGGACTCAGCAGAACATTCCCTCTGCCCTCCTCCAGGATCATGAGAACCAGCGACTCTTCGAGATGCTTGGACGGAAATGTTGGGTGAGCTGTGGCTCTCCTGGCCCCTGATCTCCCTCTCTTGCCTCCTCATCTTTCCCATCCTCCCACTCTCCTCCTTCCCTCCCCTTCATCTATCCTCATCTTCCCCATCCGTCTTGCCTCCTCTTTCTCCCCACCCCCATCCTTTCCCTCTCCATCTCTACTTCTAAATTCACTTACCATCCCCCGCCCTCAGCCACCACCCAGGAAGACCTCTGAGTCTGTTCACTCTTCCTCAGGCTGCAGCTTTCTTTGAGCCCATTGAGAGCTACAAGCAGGGAAGGACTGGGGGTGGTTCCCAAGCTCTTGGGACTGTTCTTGACTAGACTCCACTGACTCCTACTCTGCCCTTCCAGACACTGGCCACTGCAGTTGTTCAGCTGTACCTGGCGCTGCCCCGTGGAGCTGAGCACTGGACCAAGGAGCATTGTGGGGCCGTGTGCTTCGTGAAGGACAACCCACAGAAATCCTACTTCATTCGCCTTTATGGCCTTCAGGTGATCCCCATGTCCCACTGGACACGCAAACCAATCAGCCCATAAACCTGAACCTGTGTCCATAGTCCCGAGCCCTTGAACAGATCAGTGAACCCCTGAGCCCAGAACCAAAGACTCCATCCAGATGTCCAATTCTGGTTTGCTTTTCTAAGTCTGTGATGACTGACCCTAGAATCTCCATGTTGAGATAGCTACAGCCCCCGTGACTACTGAAGCTCCTCAGGCTAATCTGTTCCATAAACTCCAAACAGATGAGCACTGTTTTTACCTGCACCTCAAATCTGTTGTAAACTCAACACTTTGGACCCCAGATATCCCCACCAAAACTCTTGAACCCCAGATGTTTCTCTAGCTCCTAGCTCATAAGTCTGTTCCATAAACTTTAAAATTGAATATGCCATTGATTCTCTAGCTCCTAGCTCATAAGTCTGTTCCATAAACTTTAAAATTGAATATGCCATTGATTCTCTAGCTCCTAGCTCATAAGTCTGTTCCATAAACTTTAAACTTGAATATGCCATTGATTATTGAACTCCAAATCTGTCCCTTTAAACCCACATGAACATATCAGAATTCTTATATGAAAATTCCTGAGCACCCAAATACTGAGGTAATTCTTAAGCCAAAAATCTGTTCCACACCCCCAATCTGAAGTCTCCAGGCATAAATACCTGTTCACCTTTTAAACCCACATAGATGGACCTGGCATAATGACTTCAGCATCCCAGGACCATCTGATATTGCCCAAACTCCTAAGCCATAACTTTGCTTCACAGAACTCAAACAGTTTACAGTTTGGCTAAAACCTTCACCAGTGTTCCAAGTCTCTATGCCTGAACCTCAAATCTCAACATCAATCCCAGTCCTGGAACCCAATTTTCCCAAATGAAGAACCCCACACAAGATGGAATCTATGAATGAGTTCCATTTTCTGGAGTCCAAAATCCTCACATTTTAGCCCCCAAGTCCTACATCTAAGGCCTCAAAACTTAAATCCAGCTCTCTCAGGGTGTTTTGATGTATATATTGTACCTCAGTCCTCCGTATCTGCTACCTAGACCCCAACTTTGCGACGGTGAGTTGAGAATCTCCAAATAGGGCCCTAGGGCCCCAGACCTCAACACAATGCTGCCTGCCCAGATAACTAAGGCCACCCAGGTTGTACCTCAGTGCTAGTGTGCTCCCCAACCTCTACCTCTCCAGGCTGGCCGGATGCTCTGGCAACAAGAGCTGTATTCACAGCTGGTCTACTCCACGCCCACCCCCTTCTTCCACACCTTCGCTGGAGATGTAAGTGAACCCCTGTGCCTCAGCTCGGGGGAGGAGATGGGAAAAATGTGGGAGTTCGATAGCTGCTGACCCCAAGGTGTGTACAGGATTGTCAAGCAGGGCTGAACTTTGCAGACGAGGGTGAGGCCCAGGCCTTCCAGGCCCTAGTGCAGGAGAAGATACAAAAAAGGAATCAGAGGCAAAGTGGAGGTAAGAAGGTCCTGGGGGGAGGAAGGTTGAGCAGAGGTGCGAACAAGTGTGGGGAGCTGACAGGAATCCCTCCTGTTCTGTTCGCTGCCCACCTGTCTCTCCACAGACAGACGTCAGCTCCCCCCACCACCAGCACCAGTCAATGAAGGTTAGTCTTCTAGTGCAAGGAGGGGAAATAAAGGGCTGGCCCAAGAATACATGGCAGGGTTGTGATAGCTTTCCACCCACTCCATCTTCCCAGAGAGAAGAGGAGGTCTCCCACCCATACCCCCACACCCAGCTGGAGAACAAGGAGGTGAGTGCTGATGCTTCCTGTGTCTCAGGATGGATGGAGGGGGGGAGCAGGGAAGGGTGGCAGATGGATGGATGGGGAATGCATGGGTGGATGGATGGATGGGTGGGTGGATGGACAGGTGCATAGATGTTTAACTTTGTGGGGGCATGGATAGATATGTGTGTGTGTGTGTGTGTGTGTGTGTGTGTGTGTGTGTAGATGAGTGGTGGACAGATGGCTGGTCAGGGCAATGAACTGAAGGGAAAATGAAAATACGGCTGTATGATAGATATATAGGTGGATATACAGATGTATAGTTGAATGAGTACTTGGATAAATGGATGAACAGATTGATGGATGAGTGAATAAATTATTGAACTAATGAATGGAACAGATAATGAATGTGACAAAATTTTAGTCAGTGAAGAAAGCAATGACTGAATAATGATTGAGTAAATTAATAATTTAACAAATCAATTAGTCAATGAGCCAGTTACTGAATGAGTTAATTAATACTTAAGTGGGAACATGAGTGAGTGGAAAAATAAATGAATCAGTGAATGTATGACTGATTTGCAGAGCCCACTTCTCCATAAACCCAATCCTTCAATGAACATCAAAACACACAGAGATTCCCCAAAAATCTTCTTGTTTCTTGCCCCTTTCCTTTGGTTGGTAGGTAAATAGGTCAAAGTTCTAGTCATCTTATTTTCCCCATAGGCCCAACAGGCAGCCCGCTGTCCCTGGGACTGGTGGCAGTGGACATCCAGAACCCAGACATCACGAGTTCTCGATACCGTGGGCTCCCTGCACCTGGGCCTGGCCCAACTGATAAGAAACGCTCAGGGAGGAAGAAGATCAGCAAGGCTGATATTGGTGCACCGAGTGGATTCAAGTAAGAACCGAACTCCAGTGGGCCCACAGGTCTCTGTGAGGGGTGGAAGCCAGATAAACAGGTGGAGAGGAGAGCTGAGTAAATGGGAGCTTGGTGGTTGGGTATGGAGCTGCAGGGCCAGGATGAGAGATACAAGTGAGGTACCAAGAGGGTGAAATTTAAGGATGTGGTCACTGTCAGGGCCAAGCAACTACTATTCATGACTTTGAGAGGAGTGCCTCCTTCAGTTTTACGCCCTAAGCACCTCACTTGCTTCACACTGATCCCATCCTGAGTGGGCTGGGGGGTAAGTAGATGGGTGGATGGAGGAATGAATGAAGGAAGGAAAGAATGGGCAGGTAGGTTGGAGAAGGAATGGACAGACTGATGGGCACGTGGGAAGTGGGTGGGAAGACGGGTAGGTGAGTGGCTGAGTGTGTGGAAAGGTGTTTATGTAAGCCAGTGGTTCACAGACAGTGACTAGAGATGGGGAGGTGGCAAAACATGTGGGAGAATGGACAGTTCAGAGGGTAAGTGGACAGAAGTGTATGATTGAATGGGTAGTAAAATGGGTGGATGGGGCCTCCCTGGTGGCACAGGGATTAAAGACAGTGCTGTCAAGCTATTGACAGCCACTGCAGCCTGAGTTTGATCCCCATCAGGGAGGTGACCCACATGGCGCGGCAGACCTCTCCTGACCCGCCCACTGCTCCCCTCAGCAGTGTATTTCAGTCAGTCTTGCTGTTCTGCTCTCTACTCTATGTCTGGTGAATCCTCTCACCCCCTACACTTTTGGCCTACACTCCAGTTTTTGTATACATAAATAAATCTTAAAAAAAAGAAAGAAAGAAAGAAAGAAAAATGGGTGGATGGATGGAAAGGTGGGTACGTAGGTAGATAAATGGGCAGGTGAAGTATGTGTGAGGACAGGTTGGTAGACAAGTGGGTAAACCTGTGTGCACAGATGGACAGAGACAGATGTACTCTGGGTCAGTGGAAAGACAGGTGATGTGAGTGGCTAGGTGGACAAGTGCATGGTGGAGGGATGGTGGCAGAAAAGATGGGTGAGCAGATGGGCACCTCAAGCTGTGGACCTCTCCTAGTTTGTAACTCTTGCTTTCATTCAGTCACTTAGGTCTCGTTCATTAATACTGCCCCCTCAGAGTTCCAGGAGGGTTTTACTAGGAAGGGAGGGAACAAAAGGACAACAGTGGTGCTTCACTGGGTATCCTCCTCTCCCCCAGACATGTCAGCCACGTGGGATGGGACCCCAATAATGGATTTGATGTGAGTAATTCCCAAGTGCCCTGTACGCCACTCAACTCCCACTTACCCATCTGTAGTCCACTGCTCAGACCTACCCCCAGATCCCACCCTTCCACACCCTCCTCAGCTCCTTCTCTGGGGTGAGCCCAGAGGAAGGTGGGCCCCTTCCTTCCTAACTCTATGCCTGGCCTCCCCTCCCCCCCCACTGCCCACAGGTGAACAACCTGGATCCGGCTCTGAGGAGCCTGTTCTCCAGGGCAGGAATCAGTGAGGCCCAGCTCACTGATGCTGAAACCTCCAAACTCATCTATGACTTCATTGAAGACCAAGGCGGGCTGGAGGCTGTGCGCAAAGAAATGAGGCGGCAGGGTGAGCCCTCCCTCTGGACACCCCCTTCTTTCCTGCCCTGGTAGCGGATATGAAATCCTCATGGAAACCCTATAGAGCTTGAATTGGGAGTTGGACGGTTGGGGTACCCATGTTACAAATGAGAAAAAGAGGCTCTGGAGAAAACAATAACTATGTGTTGCTTTCCTCCCTCAGAGCCCCTTCCACCACCCCCACCACCATCCAGAGGAGGGAACCAGGGCCCACGGCCCCCTACTGTGGGAACAAACAAGGGTCGATCTGGTCCACTGCCCCCTGTACCTGCAGGAGGTGCCCCACCCCCGCCAACTCCCCGGGGACCCCCACCTCTGGGCCGAGGAGGGCCTCCACCACCACCCCCTCCAGGCACTGGACGTTTTGGACCACCCCCACCTCCACCCTCTGCAGCTGGGGGGCCACCTGCACCACCGCCACCACCACCGCCACCTCCACCACCCAGCTCTGGGGATGGGCCAATTCCACCCCCACCCCCTCCTACTCTGGGGTCTGTGGGGGGGGTCTCCCCTGGTGGAGGTCGGGGGGCACTTTTGGACCAAATTCGACAGGGAATTCAGCTGAACAAGGTAAGGAAGGACAGGATGGAGGATTGGGGTTCTGGAACTCTGGGGTGCTGTGCAAGTCAGGCTATTAGAGGCCTGGGGGAGGCTGCTTGGGGGGGTCCCAGATTTGGGGGATTCAGTGATAGGGTTAGGAGGTTGATGGGAAGAGGTGGGCTTAGAGTCTTAAAAGGGACTGGAGTATGTGGGAGGAGAAATAATGAGAAGAGGGGAGAAGCACCCCTCTCACAGACCATAAGCCCTCTGTTCTGGGCTTGCTGCAGACCTCAGGTGCTCCAGAGAGCTCAGCGCTGCAGCCCCCAGCACAGAGCTCAGAAGGACTGGTGGGGGCCTTGATGCACGTGATGCAGAAGAGAAGCAAAGCCATTCACTCCTCCGGTGAGAGCTCACCTTCCCTGCCAGCCTCCCATTCAGAGCCCATCCTCCCAGAACTAGTGTGGGCCTAAACGCAAGCCCAGCATCGGTCACCGTCAATAGTAACATTAGCCCCAACTGTTAATGATACATTAACAGTTGTACATAAACCTGAACATGAGTCAGTGTCCCTTTTGGTCATGTTAATTACCCTTGTCATGATGTAATGAAAATAGAATTATCTTTATCTTTGACAATGATATTAACTCTAATGTCAAGGAACAGCCACAATATTAACATTAGTCCCCTCGGTTCGGTAGTGCCAACCTTTGCCAACTATGTGATTATAACCTTAGAAAGTACCCCGTCTTTGACAGTGATACTAACTGGGACTCCATGGATTCATAGTTGAACATGAACTTGTTATGTGATAAGAGAACTAGGCCAGTCTTTTTACAATGAAGTCAACATTACTGTATCAACAATATTGTTGATACATGACAACTGTATCAAGACAATATTAACTATGACCGATTATGTGACAATATAACTTTGACTTTGACAATTATATAACCCCAGACTATCTAACAAGGGTAACATGAATCTGTTATATAGTAATGGTATAACAAGTCATTTTTTGACATTATCATTAACCCCATTAAGTATCAATACTAACAGGAACCCACTGTGAAACACTGTTGTAACTCACCCCACCTTTGCTAATATTTAAATTCATCCCACTGACAAATACATTCTCCGTGTAACAATACCACCCAACTAACCACATTCACAATACTGACTCCACCTAGTACTTAAAAACACCAACTAAAACCCCTATCTTGTTCCAGTGGAAACCCTCCTGAGGACACCCCTTCCTTGTCCAACCACACAGACCCCATCTGATTTCCAAGCAGGAGGCCTCAGTTCCCCAGGGTCTGGAGGTCTCCTGCCCAGCTGCCAGGCCCTAGGAACCCCCATCCCCAGGACCTTTGAACCTTCTTACCCATCCTGAGTCTCACTCTCTCTCCCTCCAGACGAAGGGGAGGACCAGGCCGGCGATGATGATGATGATGATGAATGGGACGACTAAGTCACTCCCGACCCCCCTCCCACTCGTTCTGCACCTACTTCTAGGGCAGCCGCCGCTAGTCCTTCACTTCAAGGCCCGCGAGCCC